GACTCATAAATCATCTTTCTGAGTGGGGTCAAGGGCCATTTGACTGAGACATGAGCAGAAATGTGATTTTAGTTATGGGAATATTTTCTCACCAATAATGCAATAACACATTGTGCATATCCCAGCATACTTATTGATTAAACGCCAGCATTTTGTGTACATAGAAATTCCAGATGGGTGAGATTAATGCAAAAAAAAAGAAAAGAATCAATGTCTTCCATAATGTTTTTGCATGCTATGTCAGTGTGAGGCTGAAAATCTCTGTATGATGCATTGCAATGTACGAGGTTTATTAGTGCTGCAAGGCCTGCAAAGAGCATAACTATTCTGTAATTGCAAATTGAAGTTTGTTTCATTCTAATTTATTATAATAAATCTTCAGTAGATTGTTACAGAAACAGTCTATACAATTCAAGTTGTTAACTGTTATTTGGCCAATTAAAGCTGGAGAGCTTTGATTAATCAGACTCTTTCCAGAGTGCAGTTAAAGTGAGCGAGCAGGAGAGATTTTGTGTGTGCGAGGGAGGAGAGTGAGAACATCCCTCTGTATGCTGGACCATGTCTCTGAGCTGAAGGCGAGCGGAGCTGGGGTGAGGGGTGGGAGGAGGTGAGGGTGGGGGTGGGGAGGTGCAAGGGATAACTGGCCCTGCTGGGAGGGAGGGAGGAGGAGGAGAACACAGCGAAAGAGAGGGAGGGTGGGAGAAAGGGAGAGGGAGAGGGAGAGGGTGGAGCATTGGACAGATGACAAATTGTGATTAATAAATGTGGTTCAGGACAGCAGTGTGGAGGGTTGTTATTAATAGAGAGAATTAGAGTGGCTGTGCAACTCAATCTGCACACTGTCACTCTGCATCAGGCCCCATAATCAGAGTCTAATGAAACAGCACAGCACCAGGATGTAGACACATCCACACCCGTGCACTCTGCTTACAAATCTGCACTTACAGTAAACACACATGCTCAGGTAAGTCAGGGAGAAAATAATGCATGTCATGTCTGAATGAAAGAACAATGTGATGCACGGACTGATGAAACCAACTTCATATTTATCTTTAAATTATCTTGCTAGAAGTGTGGCATATGTTCTGTGAGGCAAATCTTTATATCTTTTTCTTTTCACCCCAGAACATATCCTGCAGCAGTTATTTTTAAGGATGACACCAAATGCAGGCATGAGATGTGCCTACATTAACGTGACTCTTCATGTACAGGTGCAACTGTAAATGCAGCTATGTGGATGTCTTCCCAGTGTCCCAGTTCCTCAACTGTACAGTTCTCCTAGATTCCCTGGTTTTAGACTCGCCCCAAATCACCTCTTTATATCCCTAATGACCTCCAAATTGATTTACAACAGTGTAATCTCTCACAGCGAAGAATGAGAGCTTGATAGCCAGATTCCTGTCAGTGTTAACTGTAGAAGACGTGAGCAGTGGTCCCCAGGGAGTGACGGCCCTCCGGCAGCAACGCTCCTCCTGGGGACGATATGTCATCATCCCTCAGAGCTGATGCTCAGTATGTGTTGGTCACACTCCCTGCGCCGGTATGGATTGTGCGACAGTGCCACTATCTCAAAACAAAACAGTATGTCACACATACCTTCATGTTATATGTGACATATATCACTGACTTGGATAGCTGAGATTGTTCCATCCATTGCAAGAAACGTTTGGTTTGTTTGTGCCATGCATTTCATAAATTTAAAAAAAACTATAGTTATTTAAAAGCTGCTGTGAATGACTGAAGTGAAGAATTAGTGTGTCTTTAAGAAACTATGCAGACAAACCAGCCATAGCAGATATATAACATGAATAATGTGGCCATAAATAAGTTCCTGCTCCTCTCTTACTTGTTTACACAGAAGAGAAGAGAGAAAAGCTAGAGCTCGATTATGCAGGCGTGTGCACAAAAGACAGAGATTTATTCTCAGTGTATCATAATATATGAAATTAATTATTGAACAAACTAATTATTCAAACAGCCCAGTACTGATTCTCCTATGGCCGTTTTTACTATTGGTGACAGTGGAGACTGTGTGAAGTCAGAGCAAGTGACAGGATAAAGAAATTGCATTAAATTAAAAAAAAGAAGTGACATTTCATCAACATAATGCGTAATGTTGAAATTTCAGGTGAGTGTGAATGCTAAGGGGAGCAAATCAAGAAGAGAATAGGGAGAGAGGGAGACAGACAGCTGAAAGACATGCACATATTTCAATATTAATCACCTCAGTAATATTTTAACAGCCTTTAAAAATCCAATCCTGAGCATATTGCCTCTGACTGTTGGCGATGATTATCTGCCCCATGCTGCTTAGGACCTCTGAGCACTGTTCTAGCAGGCCAGACTGACTGACCCGGCAAACTGGGACTGACACAGCATTTAACTCCCCCCTGCTGTTGCTCAGCTATCCCAACATTTCTCAGTGGAAATATCACAGGCCACTACTTCCCAAACCCTCCACGCCTTCCACCGCAATTCCCCACTAAATCCAACCCATCCTTGGAAACCCACCTTAAAACTTGGTGATTATCCGCCTCTCCGTGTCCGGAGGGATCAGGTTGGCTGATCCCTACATGGCCAGACAGTGGTCATCATATTTGAGGAGAGAGAGGTCGAGGAGGTGGTGGTTGATAAAAAGGATGTCATCAATACTGTATGTAGACCTTATTCCCCTTACCACCAATGCTTCAGTCATTAAACTTTAAACTCGCAGATTTGCGATTGTGCCTGTCAGACAGGTGACACAAGACTCCAAGGAAATGATGATATGAGCTAAAAAATCTGCCCAAGATGTTCCTGAAATGGAGGATGATCAGGATTTTAACTCACATGGCATCACATTATTTCCCTACTGCAACATGGCCTAAGGGCGCAAAAAAACAAAAAACAAAACCCTCTTTGTGTATGTACACCTGCATATGTCTATGTGTGTGCATGCGTGTTTGTGTGTGTACCAGTGTGCGGTATGTGTTTGTGTATGAGGCTTTAGGTAAAGCAAAAAAGAGCAGCACAATGTGTGGGGCAGGGTGTCTCTCTAATGAGGCTTTATAGCTGTGGGATGCCAGTCACACACACAGACAATGGTCTGGGGAACATTTAGTGTCTCCTCTCCATTCCTCACACATCATGCTGAGGCATCTTTTACTCAGTCACCGTCCTCTGTCTTCCCTTCAGCGGCTCACAGAAGATTAAAACATCTGCCTTCGTTTTGCAACACTTTATCAAACATTTTTCTTGCTAAGAGTTTGCCTCTAACAACAGGTGAATGTCAGGCTAACGAGACACAGATGGGAGGCGTCAGTGCAGTCTGGTTCACATTTGTGTAAGTTTACAATGAAGTGCATGTTTGATTTTGGCTCACACATAATGATAATGATAATGAAAAATGAGAAGACGAGGGAGAAAAAATCAGGAGTGGATTTTAGTCCTCTATAGGTTACAAATAAATGTCAGTATCCATACAGTTGGCTGTGAGCTACATTTTTTTTAATAGAGAGCTGATGTGTGTGTGTCTGTGTGTGTCAGAGAGAGAGAGAGAGAGAGGGAGGGAGAGAAAGAGAGGGAGAGAGAGGTCGATCTAACAGGTGTCGACTAGTACTGCCCATGGACCAAACACTGCGATAAGCGGTACAGTCACAGCCACTCTGGATGGGAGCGTCAGGTTGCCGTGCGTCCCTCATTTGGAAAATTGCGTCAAAAAGTGTTCCAGCAGGTATTTACTGGGCTTCATTTCCTCTGAAGTTAGCGGTATTTAAACTCAATTTCCTACCTGGAGAGAAAAGAAGGGGATTAAGGGCTGATTAAGAAACTCTCATCACTTTCCTGGCATCTCCTGCGCGCCCGTCGGCTCACCGGCTCTCCATTCGGCACTCAAGCGGTCCAAAGTCCTTCAGTCATTGTGGTGGGACGCGGGCTGAGCAGATGCACAGATAATTTTATCCTCCACATATCTGTTTTTTTTCCCGATCTTAAAGAACCGATGGTGAGTATTTCTTTGTCTGTTTTTCCTGTTTCTTTTAACAGTTTTAAATTAAAGCAGAAATGTGTCCATGGCGCGTTGTAGATAATCACGCATTGTATGTAATTTACATGTGTAAAATACAGTAAAGCAAATTTTTTTTAAAAATGCGTGTTTCTAGAAATCATTATTATAATTTTTATTAAAAAAATGATATTCATGTTTATATATAATTTAATTATTTAACATTCTTTAAATTAATGCAATTATATTACAGTTAAATGATGTATATATATCTGTAAATAAGGACAAATCAATTACTGATTGTATTTTTGCTGTTCTTTGCAGATGCAGATATAGCCAGAGGAGGAATCTTTAAAAACAAAAAGTGTTATTGGTTTCCAGAAAACGGCCCTATTTAAATGTGGACAGTGGGATCAAGATAGAAGTGGAGGGTCATAAGATGATTGTGTCAGGAAAAGATCTCTGGTGAACTTTTGTCACTTGCAGTCATGGCATTAAGTGAGACATCCACATGAAGTGAAATCCTGTGCTTTGTTAGGGGGGGCTTGAAAGAAGATTTTTCTTTGAGAGAGAAAAAAAACAAACTGTAAATCATACTTCATCCAGCAAAACAAACAATACCTCCACACCCTCCTCAATGAGCTGATTTTGGCACCAGTCCTCCTTTCAGCATACTTCTAATAAGCACTGCTTCCACAACAACCCTCTCAGTGCCAGTCATGGTTTCTGTCTGATGCTGAAAAATAAACTGAGGACAACAGGGGAAGTCAAAAAAAAAGGTGATACAGACTTCATCAGATAAATTATGTTTTTTTGCCGCGTGTCACCACAAATCTGAGACATCCAGGGTTTTTTTTAATATCCTTAGACACAGTGGTGTGTAAAGTTTTCATCTTTTTAGGCTTTTAAATATTGAGTTCCTGGTCCCTTGGACGTCTTTATCATTTCTCAAGGATCCTCTCATCCACTTGTTTCCCTCCTGGCTGTCTTCCATTTTGCATTCTTTCTCATACTTAGTCCAGTGATTTCCTCCCACTCCTCTCCACATCCTTTTTCACCTTTTCATACCATACTGGTTCAGTGAGAGGCTTCATCCTGGCCGGCACGATTCCAGCCAAGGGGGAAGAGGACTTCCTGACGCTGGCCGCTTCACGGCTCAGCCGCAGGAAACGTGTCATTGGAGCTGCTGTAGGTGTGGCCATGGTTCTAATACTGTTGGTGGCCATTCCCCTGCTGGTCCACACAACCAAAGGGGGGAACACCGGAAATGCAGGGAGCCATTATGAAATGCTTGGAAGCTGCAGGATGGTATGTGACCCCTACGCTACGTCTCAGCCTGGCCAGGAGCTGACAGCTGTGTCTCCTCCGCCCCAGGATTACTCTGGGAAGAAGCTAAAGTCTGGGCTGCGTGGGCCTCCAGGGATTCCTGGCCCTCAAGGAGCACGTGGACCCCCTGGAGAGCCTGGTAAACCTGGGCCACAGGGGCCTCCAGGTCCAGGTCCTGGTGGCTATTCTCCCTCACTCTACACTCCCAAAATCGCCTTTTATGCAGGGCTACGCAAACAGCACGAGGGGAGCGAAATACTGAAGTTTGATGATGTGGTGACCAATGTAGGTAACTACTATGAGCCCAGCACCGGCAAGTTCACCTGTCCTCTGCCTGGCATCTACTTCTTCACCTACCATGTTCTAATGAGAGGTGGTGATGGGACCAGCATGTGGGCAGACCTGAAGAAGAACGGACTGGTCAGTAAATAGTGTGTGTGGGTGTGTGTGTGTTCGTCTGTGTGTGCATGAATGTGTGTGTACAATAGACGGTCTGCATGTACGTATTTGTATGTATGCATACACACGACCATGCAACAGATTTTTTCCCCCCACTGTTGACCGTCCTGTGTTACCATTGACTTGCATTCACCTTGGTAACATTGAGCTCTTCAGATTCAGAGCACATTCCACTTAGCAGGTGGCAACATGACAGCCAAAGAATGAAATAGCAATCTTTCCCCTCATTAAGGGGAATTCATGCTATACAGTCTAAAATCACAGCTACGGATATTTGCATTCTCACATGTTCTGTGGCTAAATGACAAGTGGCAGAATGCAGCCGCCAAAAGGAACAGGCTAATTAGTAAGTATCACACACAGAGCTTGATTATCGCCTAAACAGAAGTGCAAAAGAGCACAGGAGAAATGTCTGTCAGTACGTGGACCAGTCAGTTTACACCTCAGCTAAATAAATAATGAATGTAAAATTGACAGTCCACTCATCCACTCCCTCATTCCCCAGACACTAATTAAAGACAGAGGGGCTGATGGGGGGAAGAGGAGCGGAGAGGTGGGATAAATCACAGGGATTTCATCAGAGGACTCCAAATTCAGGAAACATTCTTCAAGTTGCTTTTTACATTCATTCATTCATCAAGGACTTCAAATGCAAATGCTCTCTGCTCAGACCTCACTCTCTAAGACATGCGGTGCGCCAAGGTCTGTTTAAACATGTGCACACAGGCTAATGCAGGCTCATACATACTGTATGGTTCAATTCCACAGTTGTAAATATTTATTTATATTTATTAGACTGATTTGGAATAGTTTTAGACTTGATTTGGTGAGATGTAAAACTAAATGTTTAAAATCGTTCGTATTTGCCACAAAAGTGAGTATATATGTTTAACACCACCTGCCCTAACATCCTATATTGTCATTCAAGTCATCTTAGCCTGCTAAATAATTTATACATCTTAGATTAGATCCCTCGAACACCCGCTATACTTTCCTCTCCTAACCCCTCCCCAGCTTGTTCATTGATTCTCCATTAATTATCTTTTCACTCAACTCAATCATTTAACCTCACCCAGGTTCATCTGACACCCATCAGGTGGCCTCCCTAAACAGTTCTGTTAAACAGAGCACTCGCCTAACAAGGTTCTTCCCAAACAGAGCTGCTGGTAGATGGAAATGGAGTGTATATGAAGTGCTGCAGAATACCTGATCATGTTTGGAGTTATTGGAGCCCCGAGGCAGGCGGGTGCTCTGCCTGTCAGTCAGTAGCTGGGGTTTACTAAATGGGCAGTATGTCTGACAGGTTGCATTTTTGACTGTAGAATCAAACGGCCTGTTTTACTATTGCCGTAGGTGCTGAGGCTTTATTGGATATTTTGTCAGCCCACTGGGTTTGTTTTAATCCCCCCCGCAGCCACAAATTTGCCACCTTCCTTTTTCGCTTGTGTTGTAACTTTTACACCTTCACAGATAAGGTCATTTGTAACTTTGGGTTTGTTAGGCAGCCAGTCTAACAGATTCACGACTCATTCTGGAGGATGAATGAAACACAAGAGACCCGACGTGACATAGACATGCTAAGACGTCCACTCTGAGACAGAGAAAGGGTGAAAGCAAAACAAGACAAGTGAGTTGATGGGAAGATCAGGGGTGGAGCAGAGGAAGATAGATGACTTAATGGAGGTGTGGAGACAGTGGGCTGGTAGACGAGGCATCAGGGAGGCTGGTGGTGAAGGCCAGGATGAGATCAGGCACGATGACCAATGGACACCCACTCAACACGTCTCGGCTTGACAAGTGATCAAGGTCGGCCAGAGAAAGAGATGAAATTGGTTTACAAGCTGTGTTTATGCCCCAGCTGCACATAGGGGGTGTTTGAAAACCAAATTAATTAATTCAAAATACCAACAGATTTTGTCTGGGAATTGTTGATGTATAACGCCTGTACTTTGCAAATGATATTTAAATGGGCACGCTGCATTGGCTGTTGAACTCATGCCATGTGACATGAGTGTGGTATAATGTCAGGATCTCAGGGAGGATGTGCTGACTGTGGCAGGGCTTCCACAGGATTCCTGTAGATCCAATACCTATTACCTTGACTAAATCCCCACTCTGTAAAGCCCACCTGCTCACACCTCAATCTAACTTTCACAAATCATTGCAGCATGACAGGGTTTCGGAGTCAGGGGATTTGCAATTGAAGGGGGGTCACACTCCAGTTGCTTTCATGCTTGTAATGCAACGGTAATTGACTTACAGTACAATTCAAATGTGTGATGAGGATGTTTGCTCGAGCAGGGACGTAGGTTTCGTTTCAACATTGGGTGGGGAGGGTGCATGCGAAACAGCAGGTTTAGGCGTTCTCCAGCAGAAAATGTTGAGCATCAAACTCTTAATTTCCTGCATTCTGGTGAAATTTTATGCACCAATTTGCGCGTTTTCTGCATCAATTGATGGTGTAAATGTCTTTAAATTGTAATTGTTTTCATTGGGGGTACAAATGCACAGGTTCTAAGTATTCAGGGGGACATGTGCTTAACACTGTTACACCCTATCCCCCCTATTAATTCTTTAAAGCAAGGTTAGGAAATAGAAGGCACACAGTGACAAATTTGATAACCCAGTTTGGGAGGATGATGAATCCATATTATATCCTTATGATACCTAATGATTGAATATTGATTTAGCCTGGCTCAAAACAAATAGTTATGAATGCACTTCTCATTTGTGCCACTGCCATTATAAACATATTTAATCACTCTGTTCCTAAATTGCTGTCAAGGATATATGAGTTGTATGTTACTTAATATTCCAGCGTGGAAGTAAATGTTATTAAGACAGTCTATGCTAATGTCGGCATGCTTTATGCTGTGAAGGCTGGTAATACGTCATGCATACCTTCTCAACAGAACTTCTCCCTTTCCCCTCATTAACTGGTATGCGAGCTGCTCACCTACTCATTTATATTCCCATAGTGCACCTCTGTATATATCTATATTAAATTTTCTTAATACAATGTGCAATGTAGACAAATAGATACTGGCTCGGCTCCCATTTAATCTCCCCCTTGTTTTTTCACCTGTCACAGACTCCCTTAATAGCTCAGTTAAAGGTCAAGTTATTTCACACACAGTAGTGTTAAAATGTCATCACTCGCTGTAATGACCGGTACCTGTATTAACTTCCCCAGTACAGAGACATGGATACAGGTGAAATATAATTAGCCTCAGAGCGAGGAGCAAGAAAGTGAGCAGAATATGCTCCATGAAGAGAAGTTAATGTTGTCTTTTCAGGACGCAAAAGTTCTAAATAAAATATCAAAATGAGCCTCTGATGAAACATAAAATTAAAAGAAGGCAATCCCCTTCACACTGTGACCATTACAGCGCAGCAGACTGCAGACTCTTAATACTGAATGGCAGGTAATACAATCTAAGGTACGGTTCAATGCTGCTGTCGCTTGTCGCCATGTAATCCCCGGGCTCCCAACGGAGAGGGAAAACCTATTCAATAAATATTCTATTTCCACAACATCGTCCACCCCACCCGCCCCCAACGCTCCTGCCATGTGCTGGAGTCCCTTAGGTAAGTTTAACAGCTACTTTTCTATTGTCTCCGCTCTAAGAGGTCAGTATATCACAGTGAATGAATCCTGTCAGTTTTATTACCAGTGGAGCACAGACCCACAGATAAAAACAAGACTTCATATACCCCCGCATCTCACCGGTCCCACAAAATAGCCTCGCTTGATCAGTCTGTTACTCTAGACCCCCTCCCTCCCCTTTCCTCAACCACTTGACCCTTGTTTTTGTTTTTTCCCCCCTTTCTCTCGTCTTTTTGTCTATCTTTGTCTCTCGTCAGCGCTGCGGTTCCACTTGTATAGAAAATGACACTGCAGCTGCTCCCCACACCGCCACATCCCCTCCCAACTCCTTGCTCCTCGCCTGTGGCCCCCCCTGCTCCCAGGCGTGTTTACTGGAGGCCCTATAATGAAAGGGCTAGGCGGAGACAGAGACAGCCACAGGCAAACCCTGGGGGCCCCTGCCTCACGGCTCACAACCCTTCCAGCTCCAGGATCAGCACAGTGTGCTGCCTGGTTCACACGGATCAGCCCGTGTCCTCCAGCCGTATCCATCTTCTCTTGTCGGCTGCCTGTCCTAATCCCACCACGGCTCCCTCATGCCTCTCTGTCTGGCATCTGCATTAATGGATGGCTTGTATTATTCCTTCACGCGCAGGAACATCAGCTGAAGCACCAATTCATATATCATATATTGGTAAAATGATCTCTACACTGACTGATGAATATTACTCTTTCGTACGGTATCCAAGCGCACTTTCATGCATTAAGTCATGAGAATCTGAGAAGGCCTGAGGGGGGAAAGATCTCCCTACATCTCCCTCCGTTACACTGTTTGGCCAAAATAATGAGCAGGATGACATATGCCTTGTGTCGATAGAAGTCTCAACAACAGCATCACTGTCAGCTGCAGCCAAAGATGCAAATGTGATATTGGCTGTCACTACACATGTCAAGCAGAACAACAATATAACCTTTACAGATGACAATGGATTGGTGTCGTTATTTGAGAGATGGTCTTATGGGGGCCTGTGAAAGAGTGAATTATTTTCAATGTTTAATTATACTAATTGGGCAGCCTGGGTATCACAAGAGCACCCAAAACATAAACAAAAAATGTTTTGTACGCCTCTGATTATATGACAAATGAATGCTCAATGTTGCCTGTGACCTATGGACTGTTGTTGGAGAAAATATTTTTTTTTTATCTCTCATGAATTTTGATTTTCCTCTGATGGAACAAGACGGGCATAAACAGATACAAATACAAAGGATGTCAGATTACATAAGAATATTCTTATCTCTCCATCTGAACCATTTGAGTATGACGGGATCAAATAATTTAACCTGTTACTGATTTATTTGTCAACCTCTTAAACACAAGACGATGTAATACATTGTATGGTGTTTACTTGTTTTTATCTTGTGCTGCTGCCTATCTTTGCCCCTTAAAAAAGGGGTTTTAAATCTCACTGGTACCTATCCTAGTTATACAAAGGTTAAATAAATTGAATAAACAGACAGGGTTGTTTTTGACCATTTTGTTGCTCTAGGCCACGTTACGACTGCTGCCCCTCAGTGCTCTGAACTTAATGATGCTTTAGTTTCAATCAATTTTATTCTGCTACACTCATTTCAAACCCTACTTTATGTGGCAATTTAGTACATGAACAGAATTTTAGATAGGGATGCAATGAGCTTATCTACTGGTATACATTTACATTACAATAGTAGTATTACTGTATAAATTAATTACATACATGATTTTAGTGATTCAGGTTTCTGGTCTGTGCTTCATGCCTTTCACTTCTCCCCATCTCAGACAGTCCGTGTCATATTTAGACAGGCTGAGAAACAGGTGTTAGTGTATCTGATTTTCACTTCTTCATTGTTTTCCCTGCTGAGACAATGTTTCGTTCAAATCTATTTTGGTTTAAGTTTCCTACCTAATGTGGCTACAGTGCACACTTATACTACATTCAAATGGGAAAAGCTGACTTGGTCTGTGGTGAGAAATGTAGCTGTTTTTGGCAGATCCACTCTACGCTGCCTCTGCCTAAAAACACCCCTGTGGAAAACAGAATCTGGAATCTAATGAAACAAGACTGTTATAGTAGTGTAACAATAGCTGTGGTTGGTTTACTGTGCAGCTGCTGAGCTGTGAAGCCTCAGGAGATTGACTCCTCAGCTCCCTTAATCAATCTGATTTAGACTGGACAGGGACATAACCACTGGTCACCAACATGCTGTGTGTTAGACGCAACATCCATGACCTGCGTTCAATTTAAGATAGGGTCCAGAAAATTGAGCACAGCTCCAGTGTTGAAAGATGGTGAACATTGGGCTTAGACGGGGGGGGGGGGCAAAATGGATAGGTGCACATGGGGAAAAGAGCATTTTTTTTTTTTTTTTTTGTTACAGTAATTCAGGCTCTGTTGCTCCGTGATTGACTGTTTTCAAATTGATGCATGCTCGTTGGGGAGAAAGAGGCCCCAGTGATGGGTATGACATGATGGTAGTTGAGTTGCAGATCATATTCTGTGGCTGTCATGGAGATGTGCGTGGCTTGTCTAGCTGCTGACACAGATTGAGTGCTCCCACCGTAGATGGACACTGAGCCAGACACAAGGCCACTGATGGCTGACATATGTCTGATGATTGGAGCGGCTACACCAGAATCATTGATACATCCTGCTTAGGAGGTTTTTAGGAATGCAACGTAGTGTACGATTATACTTTATCTATTCATCTATCCATCTATCCATCTCCATCTATCTATCTACAGCAAAAAAAGGAAAAAAAAAAAAAGCATTTTAGATTACACCAAATACCAAATTGCTCCTTAATCAGACTTCACGCAAAGGGAATCTTTTCAAAGATCTATATGCTACTATTTACTCTAAGCCCCTGATATGTACATGCCATTAAATATCTAACATTGAATAATGCAGTGATACATGTTGCCAGGGTGGTGTGTTTCCTCTACATCCGTAACTCAATCCAGGCATGTGTATTTAAATGTCTACAATGAGTAAACCCAATTAAATGTGTTAACAAACAAGTAAAGATCCACTGCTGCTGGGTCAATAAGACCGAACTCGCACACAGCATGCAAACGTGAAACTGTCTGGCTTCGGCATACCCACTCAATATCATGCATATTGAGCTGGCCCAGGATCATAAGCAACAGGTCAATAGCTGGTAAGGATAGTGATGGTGTTTCTCAGCTGAGCTAGTTTCCCCAAAGACAACCTGTTGTCCCCAGTGAGTCCGCTTATCTTCACAACCCAATCAGATCTCCATCCCCGCTCCTTTGCCCTGAGCCCCCAGCCACAGCCGGTCGATAACAGTCCACCTGTGGGGTCACGGGTCACAGTCCCATCCATATGTTCATCCAGCATGAATGCAGAGGTGATGTCATACTCACGAGTGTCTCATTTGAGGGCTGTTAATAATTGATCGTGACCCAGCCTCAGAGAAACAGAATGAGATGTAGTGGTTTCAGAGCTGCTGAGTTCCTGGAGCTGTTGAATAAGTGGCCGTGACATTTGCGAGTGTTTGTTCAGTTTCGTCCATGTTCTAATTGTCAATGCGTATGTCCTCTATGGCTGACAGGTAAGAGCCAGCGCCATCGCTCAGGACGCTGATCAGAATTACGACTACGCCTCCAACAGTGTGATCCTGCATTTGGACGTGGGTGATGAGGTGTGTGTGCAGCTGGACGGAGGGAAGGTCCACGGAGGGAACACAAACAAGTACAGCACCTTCTCCGGCTTCCTCATCTACCCAGACTGAATCTAATCCTCAACCACGGAGAGTGGACACCAACACACACACACACACACACACACACATAGACATATCCACACGACATGTACGTATGCAAATTAATGCACACACACAGACATGCACACGCACGATGCCTGCATGTACACACAAAAACACACACACACAAATGCAAGCAAACACATACAGACATCCTGAGATTACAACAGACTACAGAAGCGTGGATGGAGTGAAAATCAGAGATAAGTGGAATTAAGCCGAGCTGTGTGATTTTGAGCCAATCATCACGAGCACCTGCAACTATTGTCGCCTTTTGTGCAAATATGAATATCAGAAGATGTACAGTATAGGTGCACATAACAATTGCACGTTGTGGCTCTGAAATATCTAAAATACTTTAATGTTTTCCATATTAACTGACATTGTGACGACTAGAATATAACAAACACCATCAGTCTAATTGTGTTTTAATGCAATAATGGTGTTGAGGGTGCCATTAAACAAGATGACTAAGCCGAGGCAAACACACAACTGCTGTACTCCAGTCTTTACCTTACACATTTCTGCTCTCCATCCCAGTGACCTCTGATCGAAATGGCCTGCCTACATTTTGCAACCCATCACTGTAACAGATATTTCTCCCTAAAGTAAATTACACCAGATGAAATTAAACCCCTGTTGTGATTCCCCATGCATCGGGGCCGTACTGATTAAAACAAGGCCATCTGAATAAACACAGATGTTTGACCTTTCTTTCCTGTTTCCATCATGACGCAGGACATCACATAGCGAGATTAAACAAAACATGTTACAGGGCAACACATTTTATGGATGGCACTTGTGTGTGATGAAGTTTAAATTGCCAAGTGCATTATTGACAATATTGTGTGTGTGCGTGTGTGTGTGAGTGAGTGTGTGGGTGTGAGTGGATCTATAGATACTGTAATATAATGAGGCAGTGAAAGTAACAGCTGCAGTGTTTTACTTACATTAAATGTTGTACAATACATTACAGGCACGTTACTGTAATTACACTGCCATACCTACTTAGTACTTTATTTTTGAGAGACCCTGTTAAAGTATCATCATATGTATAAACAGTACTCCTGAGATGGGCTATCTGGTATGTTGAATATAGGCTGAGTGGAAAGTTGCTATTAAAGTATCTATACCTACCTTGTCTGTGTTCCTGCATGTTGTTTTGGCGTGTGTGTGAGGCAGGGCTGAATAAAGGCGTGTACACCCTGCCATCATTAACACACGCAGACCCTGGTTCAGCTTTATTTGAAGTGACCACTTGGACTGACTGTGGAGAATTGGATATATGACATGGCTGCGTGGACTTACAGCCGAGATCGAAGCTGACTACAGCCACTGCCTGCTACACCATGGATTTCCAATATGTCTTAAGACACTGTCTAAGACACAAACATTAATATCGCTATATTGATCTCAGCTTATAATACACCCAGGATCTACAAAATCCAGTGGATGTATACATTTTAAATAGAACAATATGGTGATCAATTGCGCAAACCAAACTGGCTCAGGGTTTGGTAAGGATCGATATTGTTCATCAGAATTTTCAAGCAAGATCATTTGTTAGAGAGGACACCAATAACAACAAATACAGCCAGGGAATTTGTGCTTTAAATATTACTGGTACAATTCTCTCAATTTATTGATAATCCTACAGTGATTTTACGGAAGTGCTCTCTCATTCAAACAAACCAGCTTATCTAGCCTGAGTGAATTTATATTTCTGAATACAACAACTATATTTACAGTGCTTTGGAAAATAAAATACCTCACTTTGTCACTTCCTAAATTTGATTAAGCAAACTAGGAGCTACAATTAATCACTGTTTCTACTACTGATTCATCTATTATTTCCCGGAATAATCAATTAATTGTTTGGTAAAAAATAAACTTTAAAATGTTAATGTTTCATCACAATTTCCCAGAGTGCTATTTGACTTTTTTAAAACATGTTGTTGCATCTGCCCAACACCCCAAAATCCAAAGACACTCAGATTAATACCATATAAGACAAAGGAGGAATATAAAAGAAGAAAAAAGCCAATGATCACATTTGTACAGCTGGAGCTTGTGGATTTTTGGATGAAATTTGTTTTGATAAATGATGAAAAATTGTTCATCAAAATAGTTGCTGATTAATTTTCATTTCATCGGTTGACTGCAAACCAAACCCGTTGTTCTGTTCCTTTGTCTTTGTGTTAATAATCAGCATTAATCAGCATTTTTTTTAATAAAATAAAAGAAGAAAGGTCACAGGAATTCAGGGCTGTTTTTGCTATTTAATTGGCTCACAATTACCTTAAAGAGAGAGCTCTTTGGGAAAAATTTGCAGTCTAAGTTTCCTTAGAAATGTAAAAACTTAGTCAAACATGGCCTGACAGGAGTTAAAAACACTGCATATATTGCAACTCTGGGTGTCATTTCACAATGCATAATTGCGCAAAAGCAATTGTACCTAACACTGCTGAAAAGTCCCAACTATTTGCAATTGAGAAACCAGTCACTTGGTGAATATGCCCACACTTCACGTCGTTTTCTACAGTTAATGTCACCAGTATATTCAAGTAATCATAATTGTTAGTATCGCCACTTTTAACGGTTTCTAAACCAGGCAGAGAGAGGTGTCATCTCCATGTTAAAGAGAATGAAATCTTGAATAACTCTTAGATTACAGGCAAAAAGAAAGTGTCTAATTAGAGCAGAGAGCTGATGGCATTCTAGACTTAAAGGATTTGGCAAATCTGTTGCTCCTGAGCGGAGAAAGAGGGATGTAGCCGTGCCACGCCTGGGCCCAGCCCCCGGCTCTCTCTCCTGGCAGATTCCAGTTGAAAGTTAATTGGACGGGGAGAGGTCTGAGACAGGCTGCGCTGAGGCCCATTAGTGATTCCCCTGTCGAATGCAGAGCCACGAGGATCACAGACTCACAAATAGGAGGATTAAAATAATCAATAGCCTTGACTTCCATCGACCACACACATACACACACACACACACCGAGTAATTAGTGGACAACCTATTCAGCAGTGGACTATGACACCCTCCTGAACCCTACCCCACACACATAAGCTCCACACTCCAATAGCTGTGGTGCCTAATGAGGGGAAATAGTTGTGGCTGCCTGTGAGGAAAATGAAGAAAAGGTCAGGAAGCCACCAAACAGCCTTCTACTGCTCATATCCTCGTGCTTTGTCACCCAATCATTACTCAGAACATTTACAGCATGTCTACAAAATATGCACAATGAAATATTTTTGGGCTACAATTTGAGCTTGCAATGATACTAAACAAATGCAACCAATAGAAGAAACCCTAAATTGTCTCAGGCAATAATAGTTTATATTGACTTGAGCACCACAGCTTACACTCATGATGTACTTTCAATTCGACATTTAAAAAAAAAAGAAAGAAAAGGCATAACGAACAGATCAAGATACGACTCCTGAATATCGTGACAGTAAAGCGGCCCCTTTACCATACCAGATTTCAGCAGCAACACTGCCCTCTTGTGTCAAGACAAGTCAGTGACACATTTTTCACCTTATTTCATCGAATGGAAAAAAAACCCTGCTCAAAACACAGATGATGAGGTGTCAGGAAAAACATTTATTTAATACAGCAACATAATTGGGTGACTTAAAAACATGGGAACCACGTTGAAATGTTTCTTTCTACCTCATGATAGTATGGCTTTAAATATACCGATTTACCACAGGATCAGAGGAACACGTTCCTCAGCCAAAGCAAGTCTTTGCCAATAATACAGTAGGTTGCCGACAGTTATGTATACTGTATATACCATATATTTTATTGTCCCATCAAACATTGACACACAAGTATCAACATTTACAGTATATCAATAAATTTATGTCTTAAGAGCTGCATCTTGGAATGTTATTGCAAACAACACAAGCATTAAGACTCCTGAATGCATATAAGTTGGTCACGCATGTGAAAAGTGGTCTTATGTGGGGAATGTAAAGGCACTTCTTAAATTAAATGTAGAAAACTAATCCATGGAAAAAGTTGGGGGCATGTAGAAGCTACCGTCAAAAACAGGGTGCATGTGACTGGGTAAAAAAAAAAAAGTTGGATGTTCTTCGTCTTCACCCGTTCATGACCATCCTGACCAGTTCTGTAAAAGAGAGATGAGAGAGACAAGCGTGAGACTCATGGTCTAAATCTTGGCAGAGACCAACTCCAACTACAGCATAAGGCGCTATAGCCCCCTCCTCATCCAGCTTTGGAGAGCCTGGGTGGGAGACGCTGTATTTGGAAGCAGATCCCCCATACTAAGCTCACCCAGAGGAAAGAAGGGGTTGAAGAGGGTACTGAGAGAAATGGGTGAGGTAATCATCTCTATCTCCTATTTAGCCAAAGCATTTGGCCATGTCTGTGATCCAGAAGGAGCTGGTTAGAGAAGCCATCCTCGCTGTATGCTTTCCTCTAGTTGAGAAGCAGAGAAAAAGGGGAGAAGATCAAGGGAGCTACAGTCCAGTCAGAGAGCGGCCAGCTACGAATTCAGCTTCCATCAGTTGAGGAGAAAACAATCAGCACAAGAGCGACTCATTGCAATTCTCTGGTTAGTAGAAAAAGGGACTGGTCCACTCTCAAAGCTGGTGGCTATATTGGAGTGTAAAAAAAAATGTCTCCGATGTAATGAACTGTCTATTTCATCTGTCTGTGAAAAGAGCAGCACCTCTAACACCAACAGAGGAAAAAAGACAATCTAATTAGCACCAAAGACATGCAAATGAGTTTAGAAGAGCTGCTTCGAGACTCCTAAACCCATCAGCTCAAATAACTCAATGGCGGCCACCAGGCTTTTCCTGAATGCGACCAGTCACTTCCCTGTATCCACCATATCCCTGTATAAACTGAGGGGAGTCCCCGACACATGCAGAGGGGCATGCTGCAGCCAGGGGCCCAAGACAGAGGGCTGCAGGAGAGAGAGACAGAAGAGCAGGAGGCTATACATGGGTCAAAGCCTCAGGACTAAGGATGAGAGGGACCGCCAGGCTTTCCCACAGGCACCTATGGGGCAAATCTACTTTGCAACAGCACCTTGTTCCCGCTTGCAAATATGAACAGTGCAGCTACAGCTGATTAGTGTTAGGGCAGCCTAATGAGAATGGATTATTTAAAAACTAAAATGCAGGAAAGCCTGGAGATGTCATCTCATGGTATACCAAATGCCCGTACCGGCCCTCAGCCTGACATGATGTGGCGGACAAATGCTGCAGAGGAAGAACAGTTAACACACTGTCAGCAGTTGACATTTATACACGGCCTCTTAGAGCGGTCAATTGACCATAAGCGTAAAGACACATAAAAGACATTCAACTGTGACATGGATAGATACCTACCTCATCATTGAGACAAAAGCAAGCATTACTGTAGTGGCAGTTCAGTAGTTAAAAAGGGTGCTTCCAATGATTGCCATAAAATAACTGATTAACAGAAATCTGAAACTACTTTTTGACACATTATTTCACATGTCAATACAGCACACACACGCAGTGGAATTTGTGACTGAGGCATCATCACGCACCATCAGCCTAATTACAGTAAGTGTCCCATTTTTGTCTTGTTCATTTCTTTCCCTCTCACCTTCATAATTGATGCACCCATTTGCGTCTTCGTGTCCTGCCAAGAGCGTCTCAACTTCCTCCTCCGTCATTTTCTCACCTGCAAATGAAACAAAAATGTTAATTCATATTACATGAGTGAGATTATCGTGTTTTTTTAAAAATGTGATAACAAGGGATTTCACAAGACACTTGTACTATAAATACACTTGCTCAACCAATGACACCAAATTCATTTACAAACATGCATATAGTAGGGTTGTCAAAAGTATCGATACTTTTCTGTATCCGGATACAATACTAATTTACAAAAGTATCGATACTAACAGTGCAGCCACCTCAGCGCCTGTCGGGTGCGCGCGACGGGTCTGACAGACACAAGCTGTGCAGGCAGCGTCTGGCAGGCACAGAGCCCTCGCTGCAACCCGGCTTGTTGTCGTTGCTGTGTATGCATGCACACATTTCTGTTGCTGTAATATGGCCAGCGCGGCTGCAGGAGGATCAGAGCAGCCAGTTTCGGTCAAAAATGATAAAGG